TGTTATATAAATATTTATCTACGTATCGTTAAAAAAAAATGTGTTCTATTTTTATAGTACAAAAAATACGTCAATTTTGTGTGTGTGCCGTAAGCGATTAAAATGTATTAATAACGTCAAGGAGTTAATTACGTGTGTCTTTGATATATAATCAAACAAAAAGAAAGAGAGAAAAGTGATCCTTTTTGATCATCAACGATGGCAAGTAATTAAATATAAAAAAAAAAGGATAACACAGGAAAAGAACGTTTGACACACGATTCACTAGGTTGATATGTGAATCGTGATTTTTTTATCTTTTTATTTTTTTTTGTTTTTTTCTACAAAGAAAACTAGAAGGGTGACATATTATCTGTGACAATATGGTTTATTTTTCTATTTTAAAATAAAAAATTATATTATAAAATATTATTTCGTTGTGCAGTGTGAGTAAATTCGTATAGTTTTCGATCGATAATTATATATATTATGATGAACTATATTAATGGACAAAGCTATTAATTAATTACCATTTGCCACTGTAATAGCTTAAGTTAGGGTTAGGTAAGAGAAGAGAGGGAAAAGGGTTAAGGACACGGTTATCTTGACCATGGATAATCATCGTTCATGTATATATGCGATTGAGACGAGATCATCTGGGTTATCCATACCAATGACGAAAGCCATCAGCCAAGCATTCAATCTATTTTGGTAATTAATGATAGCAACCTGCATCGTTAATAAATTGACAATACCAAAATAATCGAAATATTATAATTATTTAACAGTTAGTTCACACATTTAATGGATCATTAAATGGTATCCAATTTTGCAAATTTTTTTTGGAATATTTAATAAAAAAACTCTTTGTATTAAAATGAAAAAGAAAACGGTTTTATTTTACGAATATTTAGATATACAACAAAAAATATTAATTATTAATTTTTTATAAGCAAAATAACAAATATAAAAACAATCTTTCTAAATTACTTTTTATTAATCGTTTAAGTCTTACAATCAGAGGTTTTTAAAAGAAAACTGTAGAAAAAGTTTGAACAACACCATATAAAGTTTGTTTTAATCAAATGCGAAATTCAACAGTCAATTTACTGAGATTTTTCAAAACAAAATTTGAAGATTCAAACGGTTAAGAAGAAAAAATTGTACCTTCAGATATTTTGTACGATTAATCTTGAATATTTGTAAGAGTATAAAAAAAGGAGCTTACAACAGTGATTGAAATTTTATTAAATTAGGTAGAAAAAGTAAGGAAAAACGAATTGACAGGAGTTAAAAAGTGGAGATACGATAAATAGTGAGATTTATTTAGGGTAAGATGTTAATTCATGACTTGCCGACGACAAGCGGTTTAATCAAACTATATTTAATTAATTATGAGATTGGAACAACACAGAGTAAGCTTATAGTTTACTGTCTCCAGATTAGTTTGGAAACTTCCTAATACTTACTAATACTATTTTCTAGTATTTATCCCGCTGTCAAGAGATACGATCTCTACGAAAGCTTCCTTGCTTACATTAGATGCAATTTTGTCGAGTAATACCTATCGTGAAATTACTTTTGTAGATAACTTTACAATTAACGTTTTTTATCTTATGTCTAATCATACTCGAAGTCACCTACTTTAGTAGCACAAAATATTGACAAATATTGAATTCATGTGCATTTAATATTAAAAAGACATTAAATTTTTTTTTAATATTAAATACACATGTATTCAATATTTTTCAATATTTTGTGCTACTAGGGTATGTTCAATTACGAGTTTGATTGATTTAGTCTCTCTCTCTCTTTTTTTATTTTTTTTTTATTTTCATTCTTTATGTAATATATATTATTACATTTAAGATAAATGATCTCCACGAAAAGTGTGTGTCATAATGAAATATTTAAAGACACTTTGTCTTCGAAGAATCACCTAGCTCTTATTATCCCTCTTCCACTCTTTGGCTGAAAAAGACAAGGAAGGGCAGGTGACTAACGAGATAATCTAATTTCCTATTTACTCGCGACGCGGAAGTCTTTAATCGAATTTTAAGGAAAATAGGAATACCCTTGGGTTAAGAGGATAATACTACTTTTTCGATTCAATATCTAAGTCTTCAATTTTTCTTATCTCACGATGAAAAGTTTATTCAATCGTGAACTAATATTCTTTCTTTCTCTATCATTTGTAATTCGTAGCTTTTAAAACACAATGGAATTATATGTAAGAATGTCAAATTTTAATGTAAAGAAAAAATATTTGTATCGATTTTAATCATAGATTTGATATTTTTAAATCGTTTGATCTTTGACAAAAAAAAAATACAAAACAAAATAAAAATAAAAAGAAAAGTGTTTAATAAGCCAACTTTTTTTTCATTCTTTTTCGTTTCTTTAAATATTTTTTTTTTTTTTGACGTTTGATCTTTGCTTCTTTTTCGAATTCCTTCGTGTAATTCTATCTTGCTAGATATTCCTCTCCTTCTTTATATTAATCAAATTGAAAAAGCGTTGCAAGATAGAGAGAGAGAGAGAGAGAGAGAGAGAGGGAGAGAGAGAGAGCTAGCTTATAGGAAAGAATCTTGGTAAATTTCAATTTAAATGAAGGAAGTAAATTTCTAATGGGGGCCCTAGCCAGAGCAGTTTTGCACTTTTCCAAGTAATTTACGTTTAACCGATTAATCAGATCTCTCTTATAGATTGCGGTGAAATTAAAAATTCTATTCTCGTACTCTTGGGGAATCAACGTTTGCCCTTGATTACGTCGACCATTTGTATTCCGTTGGTTTTTCTTTTTTCCTTATTTCACATTTTATTATATATTATATTTTTTTTTTATTTTAATAATTCTTTTTTCACACTTTTTCTCAAACGTTTTGTTTGTTAACAGAATGTATAACTCGTATTACAAATTTCGTGTACTGTGTGAATACAACCTGTAAAGGTCACAAGTGGGCACGCCCTTCGTTAATCGATAGTAATTGTTTTTATTTCTCGAGTTAACATTAATCACAATTCTCTGGAGTCATTCGTTCGAACACATTTCAATCCCAATACGACATTTAAACTTTGTTTGACTATACTCATCGTCATTTTTCATTTCTTCATTTAACACCGGATGCGTCGAAAGGTTAAAGGTCGGTAAAAGCTTCAATATTAATTACTATCATTTCGTTGTTCCTTAAGAGAATAATTATTTCACGAGTATTCTCTCTAATGTTCTTGTGGCAATAAATCCTCGAGTAAAGGTGCAAACGTGCATTACAACGTTGATTAGAACTAAAACACGAGACAACGATTCGTCTTAATGTTACAAAAACAATAATGTTTAACTTCAGTTTAATTGAAATTATTATGATTTTTCATAACATGATCCATTTACGTATAACATGACAATTATGACAGATATTCCATAGATTTAATAACACCATTATAATCGTCTTTTTGATCGATCATTTTTATTTTTTTTTTATTTTCCAAAAAATAACTCATTATATTTAATAAAATATTCGTATAAGAGTACTTTCTCAATTTTAACCAAAGACTTTAATTAATGAATCTTTAATTAATGAAAATCTGTAGAAAGGAGCTTTACATCAAACTTCCGTGATGTTTTTTTTTAACGTTGATAATATTTCGTTTTAATTTATTTCAAGATTACATCATTTATATAGAAAATATTTTTATATAACTTTGAAAAATTATATTTTTCATTATGCGAATTTATCTTAAGGTTTGATCAAAAAGTTGTTTATATCGTTAAAAAAAAGGAAAAGAAATGATTTTGATTAACGATATTTATTCTCCTCAACGATAAATTGATCATTAATTTTCTTTCCAACAGATATTATTTTTCCTTTCTTATTTATGCTCTTATGAATAATACGTAATATAAAAGAAAAAGAAAACAAAAAGAAAGAAAAAAACAACACATATTTTTTAACGAGTACGCATGCGTACCTTGTCATTTTCTTTTTATTTTTTTTTTTTTTTTTACGTTTTTTTTATATTTCATTTAGTACTAAATCATTTTTACGATCAACTAAGATATTCGTATTCCAAATAACCTTCCATGTTTCATAAACAACAAGATAATAATAAAATCTATGGTGGATAAAGGGTGAGGGTGAGGGTAGAAATATGTTAAGAAATCAAATACGAAATCGTTGCGATTGTGATCAATCAATTTTCACGAATTTGTTGGTAAACATTTTTCCTAGTTTTTTATAGAACGTGTTAGTGTCGACTTTTACCCGGGGTTGAGGGGGAGGTAGGAGGGAAATTGGAAAAACTGAAAGGAGGAAAGGGTAGATACGCGTATGAAATCGTCGTTCGATAGTAGTAGTAGTAGTAGTAGTAGTAGTAGTAGTTTGATGCTCAAATTTAATCGAAAACTGTACAGCATCGTTCGAAAAATGTACGAGGGTGAATTCGATGCTCTCTAACGGGTGCTCGACAAATACGAAGTAGACACACAAGCCAATGGTCACGCATTTCTCCTAGCTCGTGTATTTTGTTTTTCTTTCTTTTTATTCTCTTTTTCTTTTTTATTTTGTTCTCTTTTTTTATAGGCACTTTAAAGTGTTCTCTTGTGTCGAACAGCAAAAATAACAACAACAACAACAACAACAGCAGCAACAACAACAACAACAACAACAAGGCGATATGTGTTGTAGTGATGACGCACGATGACTATGATAAAAGTGAATAAAATCGAATCAAGTGAAGAATCTAATTTATTTGATAGACTCGGTGGTGCTTTTGTGCACAGGACGTACCATGGAGGATTAATTTACGTTAGTGTGATCAAAATGAGGAGAAATTTGTGCGAGAGGAACGAAATAACACGTAGAAAGATAAGAAAAATGGAGAGAACTCTGACACCGAAAGAAACTCTATTGCGATCGAGCGTGCGTTAAAAAGATGAAAGAACGATTAAATTTATAAATGAAAAAAAGAATAAATAAATAAAATAAAATAAAATAAAATAAAATAAACTAAAAAGGAAAAAGAAAATAAACAATAAGAAGAAGAATAAATAAAAAAAGATAAAGGGAGAAAGAGAAAATCAAATATGACGATTACGATCGATATAAAAGCCTAAGAAGAATTGATCAAGAATTAATCGATGATAAATATCGATAATATCGAAGCGGCCTCTCGCATTTCAAAGTGATACCGAATTGTTTGTCTAAATAATCGCTGAAGATGATTAAATACTAACATTCAAGGCGGCCCCATAAACCGTCAATTTCATAACACATTTTAATTCCATGTCGACTTTTGCTTCCTCCTCTTACCCCTCTTTCCTGAAACTTCATCATCTCCCTCCTCTCTTTCTATGAGATAAAGAGAGAGAGAGAGAAAAAGAGAGGGACGAGTTTAACAAAGAAGCGGTTGGAAGTTCACGTTGAATCAATCGACTTATATCTCGTGTGCTCAACGCAGTAGAGCGTGTGTAGAACTCGTAAAGTGAATCCCACGGCCAAAAAGTATTCGCCAGGACTCCATCTACCCCTCCCAATCCTTTTTTCCCACCTATCCCTGCCAATTCTTTTTGAGCTCGTAACAGAAGTGAAAAAGAAAAAGAGAGAGAGAGAGAGAGAGACCTTTGAGAAGAAACTAGAACGCCCAATTCGAAGTTTACCGATCAAACTATTCAATCAGCAAGAAGCAGCAGCATCCCTTCTTGATATTCTTTCATAAAGTTCGATATACCGCATTCGATATACCTAATGCATTCTTCAATTTAAAAGTGACATTAATCAGATATAAGATATATTCTAAGAGAAATTGTGAACATTGAAATTAAATTTAATAAGGAGTCGCAGAAAATGATAAGCACGTTTCAAGGATACAAAGAAGATATATATACTTGAAGTTTTGATTATAACAAAAAGACAATTTAGAAATGAAAATATAAGAGTACATAAAAATAGTATTGTCTATGAAACGTAATTCTATACGAGCTCTAAAGTACCTAAAGTATTTTAAAAGTGGAAAAATATACGATAAGAATAATCACATCTACCTTTGTTTTTTCTTGCTCGACACAAATTTATTATATCTTTGGTAATAGATTAGATTTCTTACCTTTGCATTTGAAACGTGCGAAGACGTAACTCGTACAATACGAGAACGCCTAATAACAGGAAAAAGGGAGGAGAACCTGTTTACGATTCGAAGATATTTGTGCGAGTCCTTTCGTTGCGATATCGAGTAACGTATTCAAGGATTGTCACTAAAAAGAAATTGATGTTACAGTAGTAAATCAGATAAGGTGAAATAGGGGAAAAAGAAAAAGAAACAAGAAGGATTGAAGTGAGAGAAAGAGAGGGAAAAAGAGAAATAGGGAGAGGGAGAGAGTGAGAGAGAGAGAGAAAGAGAAAGATTTGGAAGACGTTGACCCTCAACGAAACGAGGAGAATCAAGCTTGGTAAAGTCGGCCCTGAATGTTTTGACGCTGAGTGGTGCTAGGGTGCCGAGGTGGGGGGCACGTGGTCTTGCTGCCTGCCGTGCGCCGGCGGCAGCGGGGGTGGGGGTGGCGGTTCTGTCTCGGGGGCCACCCCCGAAGCCAAGAAAGGCGTCGTCTTATCGCTCAAGCCTCACCAACAATATCACCATCAGCAGCAGCAGCAACAACATCAGTACCAACAACATCAATATTCTCAACAACATCAAGAGAAACAACAATTACAATATCAGCGACAGGATTCCAACGAGAAGAAATCTTCCCAACAACCAAAAGTTCAGGATCAACAAAATAAAAATCAACAGAAACAAACGATTTCCACGGTGGATTCGAAAGACCGTGCACCTTTAGGTGAACTTGATGAAGATCTCGATGATTTTGATGACGAAGAGGAAAAGGAATGCGAACTGAGAACCGAAGAGGAAGAATTCGGAAGAGAAGGTGGTACGCAACACCGATTGAGTCCAAGATTACACGATATCGAAGAAGAGGACGATGAAGAGGGTCGCAACACACGTGAAAGGTCAGTGCACGAAATTTATATTTATACAATTATTTATTATTTATATAAATAAACCTTTCTCATTCTTGTCTTTATATTTATGATGATTATTTTCTGACTACCAAAGGAGAGTCCTTGTTAATTGTATTTATATGAAAAGTCGTCATATTTAATTAAAAAGTTTGATGTATGGATTAAAACCAATTGAAATTTGATCCGGTTTTAGAAAGATTCCGTACTTCCAACGGTTACATGAATTTTCGATCTTACGAAGAGATCATCTTCACCTACGAATCTTCTTTCATACTTTGAGACAGTTATCGACATCGATAATTTTGTTCACTGTTGTCAAACTTTACTTTTTGAATCTTGCTTGACTATTACTAGGTCAATTTCGTTCGTCCTTCATTTGTAACTTATCTTATCTCATTCTTTTATTTCATTCCGAAGATTTCAAACATTTCAAGATAAATTCGAAAGTTTTGATAAAAAGTGATACGATTGAAAAATTTCTTTATTTTTAAAAAAATATGTGATCTATCCTGTTAACATGTTTTTTTGTTTTCAATATGGTATTTCAAGATCGGGTTTATTTTATTATTTTTATTGCTCTTTTACACGTCGTTATATTAAATACCTTTTAAAAACTTTTTAAATTCTTATAACGAGCTGTTAATCGAGAAGAAGAAGGCATCTTTGTACATTTTCTTCCCGTTAAATTTTAATAAAGCCTTTATTATCGAATTAATAGAGTCACGTTTTTTTAAATAGCACTACCGTAGTTAACTTTCCAGATCGGTGAACCCAATCCCTAAGGTAACTTTTTTTCTTTTGTGTCTTTTTAAAAGAAGAAAAATCTTCCAACGTTTTTCTCGATGCGGAAATAAATGGACGGAAATCATGCGATACGGTTAACGATTTGACAAAATAAAAAAAAAAAATAAAAAAAAGGGGAACTTACACATTCTCTTAAAACGTTCTTTAAATAAATCGTTCGAGTCGAATATCTTTCGCATTGGCTTTTCTTCATGGATGAGAAAATTCTTTGTTTTTTTTTTCATTTTTGGTTTTGCGAGCAATAAACTTGCCAGAAGCATCGAAAGCTTTCGCATGCTTTCTCTTTCATTCGAAGTTACTTGTGCGGTCAAAAGATGGTTGGAAAATGGATAAAGTAACGGACCGCGTCGAATTGCCTAAAGGGATCGTAGGATTTAAAGATAAGAAGGGACGTGTTTTGATCGAATAGAAGGGAAAGATAGATGAATTTTGTTCACCACATACAGGGTGTTTCACATATGTTTTATTTCGTAGAAATGTATTAACATATTCTATAAATAAAAAAAAAAAAAAAATAAGAAAAACAATTTTATATAAAAATAGTATTACAATATTTATCATTATTATTATTATCAAATATTACGTTGATGGGAGGATAATATTAGAAGAGATCTGAAAGAAATAGGATATGAAGATCGTGAATGGAAGGATCGCGCTCAGGGACGGGAATAATGGCGGGATTTGGTATTTACGGCAATGAACTTTCGAATTTCTAATGCCAACTAATACTAATAATAATAATAATAATAATAAAATTATCAAATATTTAAAATTCTATAATATTTTTAATAAAAAACATTTTATTATTTTAATTTTAATCATAAAATATGGTGACATCGTTTGACTGAATAAAAATGAAACCCTCGGTATACATATATAGCTTAGGTTAAAAACGTATCGTAAAGTAAACGAAGACTATATACATAATATATAACATCATTGGGGAACTTGGGTAAGGAACGTCGTAAAACTACGATGTTCGATAGTGTACGATAGTATCTCGGTTTTATGAAAAATCGCTTCACTTAGTTTTCTTTCGTAGCTTCGGAAATTTGTTTGAATGAGCTACGAAACGAGAGTGACATCATCTTTATGTAAGAAAAGAAAGAGTATATAGATCGTTCGATAAAATATCATAATTTATGTGTCCAAGAAATCTGGCAAATCTTACACTCTTATTATACGTTAATTTATGTCAGGATATTGCCGGAGATATAGCTACGTCAAGGGCCTAGTAAAACACGTTTGTTATAAGAGCGATTGCATGCGTGGGTTTAATAACGGCTTGGTAATTGCGTTGGAAGTCACGTTAGAAGAAAACTTACTATTGCTTGATCGAAATCTTAAGACTGAATGTGTGTGTGAACAATTCTACGGTTATCATTAGGAGATTAATCATTTTATTTGTTTCTAAAATAATATTTCTATTGATTAACTTTGATATTTTCGAGATAAATATTGAATTGTAAATATTGAAAATTAATTTTCTTCTCTCTCTCTCTCTCTCTCTCTCTCTCTCTCAAGTACATTATTGAAATATACATAAAGTATAACGAGATGTTTGAGTTGGTAACTTCTTTTCATCTAGTGTTAACTTTCTCTTCCTCTTTATTTCTCTGTATTTCTATAGCTCAACGGTATTATAATAATCCTAGTTAATGGAACGTTCAATAAAGTGAATATATATATATATATATATATATATATTGCGAGGAAATATATTGGTGCCTATAGGATCACGTTGGCTTTGTAGGAAATAGCTTCGGTTCGATATTGCTTGTTTAGTTCTGATTGGGAGATTCCTCTTCCAGATCGCAACGAGCAGACGTTAATGGCGAACGGACATCGGTTTTGTGCTAATAGTTATCGCCTGGAACGAACGATGAAATGAGCTTCGACTGTTGAAATCAGATGCTTTCTCTCTCTGTCTTTTATATTCGTGCGATCTGTCTCGTTTTCATTATTATTGAAAGTCAAACTCTATCAAGATAAATTATTAATAGATACTTGACAATACTTCAATCAATCTTATATGTACTTTGTAAAATCTAAAATTTTTACGATTCAACTAAAGAATACAATTTAATGTTAACATATACACACACACACACACACATGCATGTTTAAAATATTAAAATTCCATTCTCTAAATTTTATATAAATATAAGATGTTCTGGCCATGCATTGTTGTGGCTTTGTTATAAAACGTTGATTTAATATAATTTTAAACTATTTAATGCAGTCAAATTAATATTCACTAATTCAATTGTTGGGAATTCAAATTAGGCATAAAATAACATGAACTTTTTAATATATATAATATATAATATATAAATAACAAAACACCCTATAATACCACAATTAGAATGGAATACACGAAAAAATATAAAAAGTAAGGTTAGTTATATCATATGTTATGTAAATCTGAAAAAACGTATGACGTGAATATATCGGAATAATGAAATTGTGATACAGCGCTACCTATTAAATTCTTACAGAACCTAGAGACTGAGATTACCTCTGAATAATAAATCCTTAAATTAACAATAACAAATGAAAATAATTGCGATAAAAACTATCCTATATTCTAGTTGAAAAAAGTCATAGAAAATAAAAAAAATTTCATTAAGATCAGTTCAATAATTTCAAAGTTATTAGTGGACAAACATTGTGATACTGAATTTTTATATATAAAGATTTTTACATTCATGTTTAAAATATTAAAATTCCATTCTTTAAATTTAATATAAATATTTTAATGATCGTACTATACATATGCTTATTTCATTAATAAAATTTTGTATTTAACATGCATACACATACATATACACAGAAGCACACACACACACACATATATGTAAAATTTCTTTCTCTGATGAGATCATTTCGAAAATTCATAACCCGACGAGAAAATACGCTTTAATAATGCAGAAAACATTGACCTACTAACATTCTGACTACATGTATACAAATGTTTTGACCTTTTAAGGAAAATGTTTTTATTATCAATAATTCGAGAAGAAGTAACGTATGAAAAGTAACCGAATGTGTTTACAAAACAAGTTAGTAAAGTTTGAACGATGATAGAAGCAACATCCATAGCGATTCCTTGACAATTAGGCTAACAATTTTTACGGAATTTTTATACTAATCTTATAAAAAAGTAAGTACATATTGTATTCTAATGAAATATATTACATATACAAACTTAATTACAGAAGTATTCGTAATCCCATTGATCAATTTGCAATTTCGTTTCTATACCTGTCTATGCGATACATATTATATTTACTTTATTGCAATAGAACACTTTATTGTTAGATTTTATTATTACTCTTAGAAATATATATTTGTAATTATTATAAAAATACAATTATTATATATTTTGTTATTAGTTTGATGCTCGTTTTCATCTTATAATCCTTTTGAAACGATTTGACATCTGTTGTGGGATTTATGTTCTTATCAGTTATGTCACATTTTACTTTTCTCACAATAAAATGTTCTTTTGTAATCATTTAAAAGTTTACTAGTTTTAGTTTAATGTATAAGAATTTTGAAATATTGCATTACATAAAAATATATTGATTATTTTAAATTGATAACAGGGATACGAGTACTGTATATGTAATGTTTGTCTAGATACGATGAAAAACTTTATTAATAGTCTAATAAAACTTTGATTAATCATTTATTCCATACTTTCGTCAGTTTTATCAAAAAGTATGCGAAACTTTTTACTAAGGTAATGCTTATCCTAATTGTAAGTAGGAAACGTTGTGGTATTTTCGCCTTTTTATTATGGAAAGAAATAAATACTTTCAAATATGACAGAAATTCATTGCAACATAGGATAGAAATATTTTAGTCGTTGGAGAGTTGTGTCACGCTACGTAAGCTTTTATACACACGAAGGTATATAATTATAAAACACGCATATATACACATATACAAGTATAAGTATATAAATACCAAAACGTTAGCATGATAATACTTGCGAAGTCCAGATTTAACGCTACGCGTTCTCGGAGAATTATTATTTAACGTGTTTTGAATATAAACAGTAAACGTTGATACAATTAAATCTTTCATTTTGTGAAAAAAAAAAGAAAAAATATACATATATACATATATATACATATTTAAGTACTTAATATGTACATTCTTCGAGCTATGAAAAATAGATTACGTTTGTTTAATCACACAGTTGAAGTCTTGTGAAAATGTTTAGTATTATTAAATTATATATAACCGAGAAAATCAGATTTGTTTTGTTTAAAAAAAAAAAAGAAGGGAGCCAAATAGAAATTCACTTTTTTATACTTTTTCTTTCTTATAAAAGTATGGTGGAAATAACAGGTGGTTGCTAGTAGAGCGAAGAAAATATAAAAGAGAGAGAGAGAGAGAGAGAGAGAGAGAGAGAGAAAGAGAGTAGAATGAAAAAAAAGAAAACGAAAGATAAATTTAACATTACATAAGATCACATTTGTGATAATAGCATTATTCGAATGGATGTTATATCAGCAATGTAATTTAAATAGTGGTTAATATAGACTACGTATATGTGAATAGAATTGAAAGAAATAATATCTTTTTTCTTCTTGATCAAAGCATCCCTCATCTAGTAGAACACGAAGTAATTCATCTGTATACATAGTTAGTAGAAAATCTAATTTAAACCTTAAAAGCAACGCTTTCGTTGGCTACCATATCAACTTTTAAATATGTAATTTTTAATGTTTTTCAAAATACACTCTCCTACTACTTTCTCTATATACATATATATCTATCTTTCTCTTTTCTATTTCACGTCGTCGTCGGTGTGGTTGTAGATTCCAACCTTTCATCTTTGACTTTAAACTTTGATTTAAATTCGTCATTAGACATTTACCGTTATACTTCGTTATCTTTGAAATTACGCTTAAAGCTTGATGATCATCGTGGTTTTGTAAATAAGGTCACAATATCAAAATCTCGAGCTAGCCGTCATCGAATTTTAATTCGAAAAAAAAAAGGTCAGAGACGATTTTCCGAGTGAAGTTGGATATTAATTTTAATTATGTGCGGTATCATTTTTTTACTTTTTTTTTTTTTTTTTGAAAAGGTCGTAAGTTCAAAGAAAAATAATTTTTTATCTTTTTCTTATTAGGGTTTTATACAAAAAGTTATGCTTTTTCTTAGTTTATCTTATACGTAAGTATTCGTCATCGTGTCTTTCGTTTCAGTCAAAGAACTTTCATGCCAACTCTTTCTTTCTCTTCTCTTCTTTCTCTCTCTTTTCTAGAACTTACATAAGCACAAGCTATTTTAACTTTTAATAGCATCGGATAGAGATTTAAAAAGAATATGAAATATAAGAATTATAGAAGAAAGTTTTATGAGAGATTTCTCATTCACATGATCAAAAATATATATATATATATATATATCGAAAAACAAATTTTTTCCTACTTGTTTAACTAGGAAATATAATGTTATACTTTTAGATCTATATTATTCGTTNTATATATATATATATAATAGATAAAATATGACTTTTGGATAATATACATAAATAATACGATCATAATATATTCGCGATAAAAAGAGATTTTACATGGTTTGTTGTTTATACGTATACGATAATTTAACGATGTTTATTATATCAGCAAGACAAATCCAATCGACAGTGTTCGTTGTTATTTGTAGGAATACACGATGAATGTTTTTATGGATTCCTATAAAATTTTATTGCCGTAGAAACATGAAATTTTACCAGCTTAATAGTAATAGCAAAAGTTTTTCTATTGGTCGTATTTGTATTTATTTATACGTAGATGTGTAACGTCAGCTATGTAATTTAGTTGTTTGTTCAACAGAAGCTTTAACGTTAAATAAAAACAAATTGAAACTAATTAACCGACTGACGGCTTTTATGGAGGATAAGATATGTCTTCTATTTTAGCGAGTTTAACGTGTGTAATCAGTGTAGCGTTACCCGTCACTACAATTTGTCTTTTATTTTATAGTGCTTCTGATTACGTTAACATCGAAGCTACGCGAAGCTTCTAAATTAGATCGGACTGAAAGGTTTGTTGATTTATTGTAAAAGCTCGTAACGTTGTTGTTGTATTTTTATTTTTATTTTGTTTTTCTTTCTTATTCTTTTTTTTTTTTATATGCATTATATTTTCTTTTATTCGAGTTTTTAATAATTATTATGTTTATAAAGCTGTTAGTAATTTAAAACAATCCATAAAATGTTGATGAATAAATATGAAAATAAATCGATAATCCAATTGTGAACGACGCATTGAAATATTGAAATATTATTCGCTTGTTTTTCCTTTATTTATTAAAATACGATAAAATTCGTAATTACAATATAAAATTACTGGAAAAATAGCTTGTATAAATGTTATAATAAACTGTAATTTCTGATCAATTTTAGCGAATATATTTAATTAAATTTACTTGAAATTATGCAATCTAATAAATATTCTATTTGCAATTTATATTTGTTCTATTACTTCAAATAGAATATCATAAATAGTCATGTGTATAATACCTTGATTATGCTTATTGACTTGTACGTTATCTACATTATTCATTTGTGCGTAGATTATTATCGAGATTGTTTTATAGGAATATTTAAGATTAAAATTTTATGATAAATAGATTGATCTATTACAGATTTACATATAACATATTGAATTCATTCGCAAATGCTAATTTGAAAATGTGTTTACGTTTAATATGTAAATTCATAACTTAATCGTTTATACGTAAAATGCATAATATTCATTTTTCCAAAAGCATTTCAAGTGTATTATACACGTAATTGCTACGAACTCACGTAATTGAGAAAAATATTTTACGATGAAAATGATAGGAAAATATCGATAATATCGATGATCGATATTCCCTGGGCTTTTACGAACCGTTCAAATAATTGAAAATTTTACGTTCCATGAAATATCCGTAAAATATTGTCCTAATTATACGCGCGATTTTCAACGTATTTTGATTGAACTTATTTTTTTTTTCTTTTTTTATAAATAACAGATTATATACCGCTACATGTGTGATTTGTTTAATATTAATATTATTTTCAAGAAATATATACATATTCATAAAGTTCTTTATGTTTAAGAAACGTTTGATCAACGTCTTTGTAAACTTCTGACACGTATTTTAATTATCACATACATGATGTGCATTAACATTGAGACACAAAGAGAAGCATAGAAGATCAAAGTAAATTAGATCATGTAAATTTAGTAAATAAATGAATAAAAATTGTGATCTTCTATTAATTATTTTTATTATTATTATTATTATTATTATTATTATTATTATTATTATTAGTATAGAATTTTGTATGTTGAAGATGATACAGAAAAGAATATTTTAATTTAAAAACAAATTACGTTATTAATCACATATTCAAATGAAAATGGGAACGAATAATATAGATCTAAAAGTATAACATTATATTTCCTAGTTAAACAAGTAGGAAAAAATTTGTTTTTCGATATATATATATATATATATATTTATCTCTTCTTTTCAATTCTACTTTTATTTGAAACGTTGTATATTTTATTTTTCTTTTTTTCGTAGACATATAGGATCAATGTTATTTTTCGTATAAAACTTTTTTGAACGACTCAAAAAGGGAAGATGAGAGAGATAAAGAAAGAGAGAAAAAGGGCAGATAAAATTTTTGCAAAGTATAAAATATTTCTCGATTCAACGTTATATTCGATGTAAATAAAAATACGATATGATTCCATCTTGTATAGTTGAATTTGTTTGAAAGGTAATACTAGTATACTCGCAGATGGAGAGTAGCATTCGTAAAACGGAAATACAATTTCTAACATAAGAGAGACAGAGAGAAAGAAGTACATAACGTTTACTTATTATTCGTAGTAACCACTGTGATGGGGATATTCCTAGTTTCAAAAGATATTTTCTTTGATACGACTACAACATCTTTTCCCACATGAGTACTAACAGAAATAAATAAGAACTTGGTAGAGAAAAAGAGATAGTGAAAGAGAGATAGGAAGAGAAAGACAGAAAGAGAATATCTAACGTCACATTGCATCGTTTTATTGAATCCAGGCTTTATTCATGAACAGAGCCAGCTCTAAGCGTCAGCCTTGCAGATAACGAGCTTTCAAATGGACCATTCGCTATTTCACGGATGTAAAGTTAACTCTAGTGGATGGCAAAAGTTGTACCATTTCTCTCGGTCATTGCGCAAAAGAAAAAAATCGTTCTTTTCATTGCGGATGTTTTAACGAAAAGAATATCATCAAGAGAGTTGTGTACATTTTTTCAACAAATCGATAACCCTTGTAAAACACGAGTTTACAACAAAAATTTACTAATAACGAATAATTTGTGTGAAGTATTTTAAAAAATCGATAATCGTTGTAAAACACGAGTTTACAAGAAAAATTTAGCAATAACGATTAATTTTTGTTAACAATTTTCTTCGGAATAGGTATAAATAAAGAAAATAATAAAAAAATAATAAAATGACTAATAAATCGCGATGAATTTTTCATTACAACATATAAAACGTAATTGAATTTTTTGACGATGATTCTATCAAAAGAAGGAAAAAAAAAGAAAGAAAATAAAAGGACAATTTCAACAAGGACATTTCTCCACCTTTCGATCATTTTGAAAATTGGGTAGTCAGAAAATCGACACGAATGGGATCAATAAAAAGGTTTCCTTCCTTTCTTGGTTTTTTTCCTTTTTTTCCTTGACAGTTCATTTTACAGGCCATACCAGAAGAAATCACCAACGCCGAGTGGCGGCGGAAGTGGTAGCAGAACTGGTTGGCGTTCTCGCAGGAGCGTCACAACATCAGGTGCCCCAGGGCATCAACACCACGTGATCGCCAGTGCTGCCGCTACGGCGCAGGCAAGAATGCAGGCCGAACAGGGGAGTATCGGCGAATTGAGGGGTTACCACAATCTGCGATCCCGCAGACATACTTTGGCGAACGTTCGGTGAGTCGAAGATATCATCTTACTCCTTATCGCAAAAGGAGAATAATAAAAGAGAACAATCTGTCTATTTTATATACATCATCCATCTTTGTTTCGTTGTTCTTCTACTTCTTCTTTTTCTTCTTATTGAGAATTTCATTATTTTTTATAAGAAATACATGGATTTTCTTCGAACACTGAATATAAATCTTTAAACGAGATATATTTTGCATTACACGTACTTGACGAGTAATATATCATTATTATTATTATTATTATTTATAGTATTCTTTCTCCTTTCTCTAGTTTAACTTCTTTTTTACAATTTCATAGTAGGTAACTTTATGAGTCTTTTGGGTATTTCTTACCTTATCCTTTTTAGACATTTCTTCTCTTTTCTTTTTCATTTCTTTTCTTTTCTTCTCTTTTCTTTGCCTTTCTCTGTCTTCTTTACTTTTCTCTTTCCTTTACGTCTTCAAATAGAATACTTTCATTATTGGGATTCTAACGTCGAATGAATCAATGTAATTCCTTTTTGAAAGATGATATTACCTTTTTTTTCCCCTTTCTTATCATCGTTCCCTATAACGTGCGGTTCATTGAATGATCTTCCCATCTTTCCCCCTATATCATAGTTAACGAAGTGTACAATCTGCCGAGATATAGTCTTGGCTATTATCCTATTATTTCTCGATCGTTATAGTAGGTGGCAAATCATAATCGTCACAGCCACAAATTTCTCGTTTCCATAATCGTCCGCTATCGGTTCTTTCTATTTTCGTACAAATACAATTCGAAGGGCTGTCTAGATCCTTGCTGTATTCCATTTTTGTCATTTTATTTTCCCCTACACATTCCACGTATTTACCTTGACACGTAATTGATTTCATATCATCATCCTTTTTTCTGTCCTTGCCACGTATTTTATTTTGCTTTGGTATCTTTGCCAAACAAGATTGATCTTTTTTCTCTGATTTGTATTTTCTTTTGAAACTCATGCCAACCTTACTTTTGCTATTAGATGTTGAACAAGTGCACATTTCTTTATCGCAAACTAATTTGCTGAATTTGGGAACGTTCGAAGCATAAGAAGCGTAAGTTTGTAATTTTTCTGGAATATTAGATTTCAATGTTCTGTAACTTGGTCCTTCGTCTTGCGTATTTTGATCCATGTTCGGAACTTTTCTACTATTCAAAAATTTCAACAAAGGATGAGATTTGACTGTAGTCGATATTTTAGGAGAAGTATTGTTAATTCCACAAACGCAGCAATCACATTTATACGTTTCATTTATTTTTTTATTGTAATTTATCGATCTTATTTCCTTTTCTTCGTTGTTAATATTAGATTTCAATGATCTTATAATGTCCGACAATAAACGTTGTTTTTCACTTAAAGTAGGCTCTTGCGTCGTACTTCGTAATAGTAAAAATGGTTTATCCGTTTGAGAACTAACATTAAAATTCGATACAGCTGATCTATTTTTTGGTCTTTTACGCCAACGTATTTTTTTCTCTGATATTTCAGGATCACCACCTGTTTCCGTCGATTTTTGATCCGTTATTTTTAGTTTTATCGGATGAACAGTGCTTGTTTGAGTACCTCTATTAATGACCGTTTGAACGATCTCAGTTTGAGTGATCACAATTTGCATTGCCGATAGCACAGGTGGTAACTGTAAAAAATAAATAGATAATTAATTACTTTTGTGCCATAAACAAATCCTATAAACGTTTGAAAATAGTTTATATATATATATTGTTTACCTCAATTTCTTCTGGTTTTTTGCAAATACAAGGTTGATCCTTCGCAATTAAAACACCCAATGTTGTTTCTTCTTCTATTTCTTCAATCTCAGCTACAGCTAAATACGGTGTAGCTACTACTCGAGGATCGAACGGTGTTTTCGGTTTCTCTTTGATTTTCTCTTCTTTTACGGAAATTGGGATAGGTTCTATCGTTTCAAGCTTATCTGATATTTCTTCTTTTATTTCTTCTTTTATTTCTTCTTTTATTTCTTCTTTTATTTCTATCGGCAACTCTTCCTCCAATAACATTTCTTCTTTTTTTTCTATTTCTTTAGCTTCAATTTTTATTGGTTTATCTTCTAACACTTTCATTTCCATTTTCTCGAATTGTTCTTCCTCAAAAATTTTTTCCGGTACTTCTATCCGTTCTATATCTTCCACAATTGGTGATATTTTTTCTTTCAATTCTATTGTTTCCTGGATATCCTTTGTCAATGGGGTTGGCAACGGTGTTGCAGGCAACTCTTTCATTTCCGCATCGACAAATATTTCTTCTACATCCGTAACTTCGTCTACTTCTAATTTCACCAAAGGTTCTTCATCTACTTTCTCTTCTTTGATCTCGATTTTTGATTTAACTTCTTCTTCTTTTTCTTCTTCTAATTCTTCTTTAGTTATCCTACCAACTTCGGTTTCCTTTTCGTCTTCGAGTTTTTCTAAAATTTCATCATCTTCGACATCAGTTTTTTTTATCGCGATGGGAACTACTTGTTCAACTTTGATTTCATCGATTTTTTCTTTTAATTCGATACTTTTCTCAGGAACATACTTGTCAGGAACATCCGCATGTTTAACTTCTTCTTCTTTTGGAATCAAAATTTCTTCATCCTCGTCAGGTAATTTTTGAATAGGTAATATTATTTTTGTTTCTTTTTCC